GCGCGAACGAGTGGCGCGGTGGTGGCTGTGACGGCAGCAGCCGCGGCAACGCGCTTTCAGCCCGAACGAGAACGGAAATGAAAAGAAAATAAATAGCGCGGCAAAAAACCGCGGCTCGTTTGCGTGGGTACACGCGTAACCAGGACCTTTGACATGTGCCCGTGTAAACGAGCAGCAACCGGGCCGGCCGACCGCCCTCGAAAGTAGACATTTACCCCGTGTCGAGGGGGAGGTTTCGCCGGCAGAAAACAAGCCGCGATCCGTGGTGTCGGTTTTCATTTCCCTCGCGCTTTTTTTCCGCGTTATTCTCCCTCCGCTGGTTCGTAGATGCGCACCGGAGCCGGTGTGCGTGCGTGGCTGTTCTTTTTTCCCTTTTTCCACCCTGCACCCCCGCCGGCCGGCGGCCCGTTGTTTCACGCACTTCCGCCGGTTTGTTGGTCACGAGGGCCGGCACGAGGCCCGTGCAAATTATAAAAATACTCCGACGAGCGAGCTAGACCGCGCTATGCTCGCTCGCTCGAGGACAAAGCGGCCCGCTCGTTGATTCGCGAGTTAATTGAGCGGCGCGGCACTCGCCGGCCGCTAACGAGTAAATTGTTGACTACCACCATCGCCCCGGTGCCGGGTGAACACCGTCGGCCAACCAGCCAACCCGCCTCTCCCCATCAACCACCGCGCGCCGGAATGGCCGGCAAATTAGTACAGATTTTTGAAGCAATTAGCCTCGGTTTTAACCGCAGGAAATTGCCGTCACTCGCCTAAAAAGCCCGCGCGCGTACGCTCTTCGACGCTCGTCACCCGACGCTTCCCCCGCGAGACACCGTCTTTCCCTTCCGACTCTTTCGTCCTCTCGATGGCCACCTTTCGGGGCACGCGAGCCCAAACCCGTTCCATCCTCCCTGCTCCCTGTTCCCTCTCCCTCTTCCTCTTCCTCTTCCTCTCCCTCTCCCGCTCCCTCTCCCTCGCGCGTCGGGGTGAACCGCGCGCGCGTCGCGACGAAATAAAACGGCCGATTAAACGGCGCGTGGAGCACGGTAATTAAGTCGTACTAAAACCGGCCGCGTTGTCCCGCGAGTGTCGGCCGATCGTTTTATGGCGCGACGCGTATCCGTCCTTCCGCTCGCTCGCTCGCTCGCTGGTTCGCGCGTGCACTGGACGTCGAGTCGACGAGCATCGTCGTCGGATCGGGCCACGCGATCGAGGAGCGTTAAAGCGAACACGGGTCGTCGGAACTCCCTGCAGCGAGGCCGAGTCTACTTTTTCTCCCGCGTCGCCGCTTAACGTCTTCATTTGGCCGGAGCATGCGAGTGTTTCGTTACGAGGCAAAAACCGGCGAAACGCGAAAATTCCCGGCCCGACTGATTTACGGCGGCGTGCCACGCAGAACGATGTTGCCGCAACGAAAGGGTTTAATTCACCGGCGTTTTGTTACTCTGCCTCCGTGGAACTCGCTTCTCCCACCCTTTTATAACCTTCCGTGTCTTCTCTGCTCCGAAACTCGCTTCTGCTACGCGCGTGCGCCAATGCCAGCGGAATCGCACCGCGATACGAAAACATCGCGGGGGACCTCCCCTCGTATCCACGCTCGGGGTGTAATAATCTCGCGGAACGCTATTATCGCTTTAATCGCGAGGATTATTTCACTTTCGCGTCGAATCTCCGGACCGCTCGGTTTTCGCTTCGGTTTCGCCTCCCTCGTGGCCGCGACCCTCCGCCACCCGCCTCGCGTAATTTCTGACCGCAGGCCGAAAATTCCACGTAAGCCAGTGGTTCTCGTCGTCGTTTCGCTCGTCTCCGTTTCTCCATTCCCGGTCACCCTTCCGTACGGAACCTCGCCTTTCCACCCCCCTCGGAAAGATGACGCTGCGTGGTACGCGCGAAAATCGCCGCGGCGGAAAAAGGTCTCGGAACGGAACGGTCGATGGCGCGATATCGAAGCGACGTCGGCCCCCTATTAACCGGGTTTTATTGGTACACGAGCCAGCCGCGTTGGCTGACCTACGACCGGCAACAGTTAATCAATGCTTTTATGAGCATTCGCTCGCCGGTACAGCGTCGTTGCAGCCGCGACCGGCCGAACCACCCCAGCCACCCACTCGGGGTCGCCCCTCTCTCGTATCCGCCCGGACACCCGCCGC